GGTATTCACCCTCAATACGCGAAATACCTCTCTTTCTCTGTAATGCCACACTTTATTATATTGCGTTTTTGTATAGCATTGATTGTTTCTATAATTGCGACGTACAGTGGTGGTATTAAGGGGTGAATTAAGTCGGGTAAGTCTCCACTGAAGGCCCAGGTACCAAATGCACGGCCCGCCACTGTATTTAAGGACACCGTGTTAACATAAAAAGTGACTATCCATAGTTGCAATTCAGATATCTACATTTACGTTTTAACTGGTCAAATTTACAATGCGGTCAAAACTATAATTTAAGATATCTACAATAACATTTCTGCCTCGTAGGAATGACAGTTCAAGATATCTACAATTCGTGATTTTGGATAGCAGAAATGACGTCACTGGAACGTTTTTGCATTTACATCGAGAGAATTCATATTACTGATAATTTGTCAAAATTTCATTGTAGATATCTTAAATTATAGTTTTTACTAGTCAAAATGCATTGCAGATATCATAAATGCAAGTCCTGTCTACCTATTTAATGCTAAAGATGCTCGTCATATTTCGACAAGAACAAAACAATATGACACGTGACCTTTAGTCACCGCCCTTTCCGCAAGTTTATCGAATCGATACAGCTCAGTAAACCGGAAGTATTTGAACGTATCGCGCGCGGGAAATTACAGAAGTTTTCGTCTTCAGAAGAGGTAAAATGCGACAAATTACTTGGAGATAATTTTATTTCTAAGGAAAAGCAGACACAGTCGTGTGTATTCTTAAGGAGCATACTCGCTAGCGAGCAGAAACACATAGGCATTTACCTGGATGTGCTTTTGTGTCCTTGATGTTAGACACAGATTGTTCAACAAACCTGCTATGTTTCTTGCTAACGGTGTTAACTGTCTGTAGCATTTGTTTACTGTGTGACCAAATTATCTTATTTATCAGTTTGTTCAATGGTTGAAGAAGTACTCGGATCCTTTACTTCAGTAAAAGTACCAATAGCACTGTCGAAATGCTCTGGTACAAGTAAAGTTTTAGATGAAAGGTTTTCAAGTACAGTAGGCCTGTTGTCATAAATATACTTAAAGTAGCCGGCCATTAGTAAAAATACTCATTATATGCAGAATGGCACATTTCACATTAATGCATATCGTTATTGAATTATAACTACTGGTGCATTATAATGTTCATCACTTTAATGAAAGCCGATAATGGTGGAGTTAATTTAACTGCCCTGTTGTTTCTGTGCTCATATGTTTTGTTTCTAATATTATAATAGTCCATAGTGCTGGGTATCTTCTGAACGACCTGCTGGGAACCAGTAAAACATTATGATTATGCTGTATTTTCTTTTATTAATCTGATTCTTTTAGATGTAAAAAAAACTGGTAATTCCCAATGATTCATGTGCTTTTTATTGCCACTGTATTTACTTCTGACATGTAGTGAAGTCAAAGTGAGAAGTAGAAGACAATGGAAATACTTGAGTAAAGTACAAACAAATTTAAGTTGTACTGTAGTAGTAATTACTGAATGCATTGTTGCCTTTAATCCATGATACAGGGTCCATATTTGACAGCATGTAAAGATAACTGTCCCCAACAGCTACTGAGTCGGTGTCAGACTCACTATGCTTATAACTGTATGGAGCACCAAGCTGACTTTTTTGCAACTCCTGAGGTTGTTGTTTGCTTTAAAGAAATGAAGGTGGTAACGTGTGAGATTGCATGGCACAACAAGGAGCCAGTCTACAGTTTGGACTTCCAGCACAGCTCTGATGGACATATTCATCGCCTAGCCACAGCTGGAGTTGACACGACAGTCAGAGTGAGTAAAAGAAATAGAATGAACATCTGGTCAGAACAATGATAAACCAGCTGTCTTGTAAAATTAAAACAGACATGTCCATCAAAGAGCCACATTAATTACTCTGTAATGTAAACCTGTACAGGTGGATTTGCCTCGTAAAGGAACAGTGTAACACACAAGGCAAAGCACAAATGTTACTTTACCTGTGTGCATGAATTTGATAAAAGTCAACTTAAAGGTTGCAGGAGGTGGCATTCACACACTCAGTTGACAACATGTAGTGGTTTCATAAACAGTAACATAATTTAGCATTTTCATATTGGCTTATTTATTAGGATATTATTTGTTTTTTGTGTGACCTTAAATGGATGAATGTGGATTCAGCAAACAGCACTTATTTCAGTAATAGGATTTTTTCTTATTTAACCTGTTAATTCTACAAACTTTTCCCCACAAAGATCCATGTGTATGATAGACAGTCTTTAAATGGTTTTTATTAAAGTTTTGATGAAACTGCAGTATAATATGAAGCAGACCATCCAAAAAGACGCCACAACGTTTGTAAAACATTAGCGTGAAGGGTAAAAATGTTTTTTTATTTTAATTTTCATCTTACCTGTGACAGTGATCAAACCTATTTACAAAAAAAGTCAAAAAGGCCTTTGCCATATTGTTGATGCAGCTGTGGCGGGTAGACATGGGCCCAGACGGGAAATCAGTGGTGGAGTTTTTGTCTACTCTGGCCAGACACACCAAGGCCGTCAACGTAGTGCGCTTTAGCCCTAATGGAGAGCTGCTTGCCTCAGGAGGAGATGGTATGATTCACATATTACATAGACACCAAGGAAAATTTGTGCTGTAATCATTTTAAAGAATCACTTTTTAAAAGACAATGGTGATTTTAAAAACTGAACATATATTTTAAAATATCAGTGGCTCTTAGTAACTGTGTGGTTTTTATTTAACACAGATGCAGCAATTCTGCTGTGGAAGCTCAATGACTCTAAGGAGCCTGAGCAGGTCCCTGTGTTCCAGGAGGACGAAGATGCTCAGCTCAACAAGGAGAGCTGGTCTGTGGTCAAGACACTGAGGTACACAACTTGAGTTCACAACTCTGGCAGTTTGATCTGATCAACTTAGAATGTTTATCGAAAATTTCTACAACTTTCCCTCTGTTTTTAAGGATTCTTAAGGGCAACACACACAGGGCAGTGTGTGATGTGTGTCAAAACACCTGCACCCATTATTTTCACTGCAAACCCATACCTCAGCGGAGAATTGACATATGTCATCACAGGCTGACGCACATCAAGATATCGTCTTACTTGTCTGACGTCATTGTCTGCTAAAAGCACATTGAATTTACACTGCTGCCAGTGTTTGTTGCAGGTATCACATGATGCGCCACCCTCAGTGTGTGTTGCCCTTTAGGCTGTGTTCAGACTCTGTCAGAGAACACCCTCCTTGTTCATTGTAATGTGACCACAGTTATGACACAAGGTGGAGTCAGAACAAATAGACCTCACTTGACTTTTGTTGTAATGCAGCCAAATATCAGACCATGTGCTGCGTTGGTGTGCCAGTAATACAAGTGCATATTCTTGGTAGATGATTTCATATGAGAAATCCTAAATTACACATATGAGAGCTGTGTAATTTTACTGTTAATCTCTTATTGTCCAGGCAGAATTAAATGGTTCTCAACTTCTTTTTAGTTTCACTTTCTTGACTGACTGTATTGGATTTGCATGTCCATTAGTATTTGAATAAAGGTTCATTTTAATGTCTCTTTGCATTTATTATTTTTCACCTCAAAAATTAACCAAATATTATATCAAATGTCATTTACCCAGGAGTGCCCAAACCTTTGATTACAACTGTATGTCAGACATTTGTCATTGTCTTGCTCAGGTCAGGCCTAGTGACACAGTTATCAATTTTAAACCATCAAGAAACCATTACTTTGTTATGATTAATACTGTATTTAATTATATTAATTTGACCATGGAGACCTTGTTTTGTGCATCTTGCAGTTTGGTATCAGATGTGTTTTTAATGCAGACTGTAGTTTGCATTATATATTATATCATGGACCACAGATAATTTTGTTATTTTTAGACTAACTCTAAGCCCAGTATGATAATTAGAATGCCTATCCTGAAGCACTGAGTTCAAGTACAACCTTTGCTTTGCCTGATCCAAATTTGTAGCAATAGTGTGATTATATATAGAGATTTGTATCATTTGATTTGTTTTTAGGGGACACATAGAGGATGTATACGACATCTGCTGGACACGGGATGGAAACTTCATGGTGTCCGGGTCTGTCGACAACACTGCTATTATGTGGGACATGAACAAAGGTTTGCTTGTGGTCATAGATGCAGTGTGTGTGTTGCATATATTGCTGTTTTATTTCATCTGTCAGGTATTTCAGTTTTGCAAAGCCTACTGTGAGATGTGAGGATATGTCTTATTTTAGCATCATTTTATTATGTTGGTTGCATCTGTTCTTGTGCTTCAGGACAGAAGCTGTGTATCTTGAATGACCATAAGAGCTATGTGCAGGGGGTGACCTGGGATCCTCTGGGGCAATATGTTGCCACCCTCAGCTGTGACAGGTACTACAACAGTGCACTATTTACATTCTCTGTTTCAGACCCCTGTCTATGGGTATAGTCTTTGCTAAATGAATGTATTTGCTGTTGCTTAGGCAGCCATTAGTCACTGACTGTAGGGTTTCAGCAGCTTCCTGCTTAGGAGGGCTTTGTTTTTCCTGCCCTTCAGGGTGATGCGTGTGTACAGCACTCACACCAAGAAGAAGGCTTTCTGTATTAGTAAAATGAACTCTGGGCCACTTGCAGATGGAGAGGTCAGTATACATTTATATTTTTGCTGTATTGGCCACTGTTGACTAAAATTTGTTTACAATGCTTCCAAATGTTTATCTTACAGTTCTTTACATTTGGTCTTTAATTTGTAAAATATCTTCAGAGACACTATATTCTGCCGCCAGATGAGGGAGACATTTCACACACACGCTCTCAGTTCTGCATGTCTTTGTACCTTTGCAGACCAAGCAGTACAGAATGTTCCATGATGACAGCATGAGGTCGTTTTTTAGACGTCTTTCTTTCACACCTGATGGGTCTTTCCTGCTGGTCCCAGGTACATACACACCATGTTTAGTGTGACCTTTACCTGGCTTTTATCTGGTTGAATTTGGTGCAGATATACTGTAGTAAAAATCCATCCATCCATTATCTATACCATTTCTTCCTACTGTAGTAAAAACCTTTAATATAAACCAAGTTCTCTCTCCTTTCACCATCTTCTTTAACTTCAGCTGGATGTGTGGAGATTGGAGAAAATATCATAAATACCACCTACATCTTTTCAAGGAAGGGTCTCAAGAGGTAACTTTTGCAACGTGCTATTCGGAGTCAGTGCTAGCTGAATTAAGGCTGGTAGTTGACGTACACATCCCTGTGTCTTTTAGGCCTATTGCCCATTTGCCATGTCCAACTAAAGCTACACTGGCTGTGCGTTGCTGCCCTGTCTACTTCGAATTGAAGACCAAGAAGGGAGAAGGCAAGGACATACTCCCATCTGGATAACTGACAACTAAAATTAGAGTGCTCCCTGTTAGTTTGTCTGCACTCTTTTATTTCCCCTCTTCCTCTATAATCTCTTTATTTCCCTGCATTTCTTTTCCCCAGATGGTTCTGCTCAGCCTCTTCCCAATGTATTCCAGTTGCCGTACCGTATGGTGTTTGCAGTGGCATCAGAGGACTCCATCCTCTTGTATGATACTCAGCAGACGCTTCCTTTTGGCCTAGTGTCCAACATCCACTACCACACACTCAGTGATCTTACATGGTAAGCTAGGTTTCTTCTGTTGTCTTCTTTTGTAGCCCATTGTTGCACAGCTCAACATGGTTCTGAATAGTCAGCATTTGTCAAACTGAAATGGGGTGCGTGTCCTGGGCTTGTGTCATTTCTTTTCATATACTTTGATGCCCCATTTTTCAGACTGATCAAAGAAATACGCAGGTTTAAGAAGTGTTGTTTCTGTAAGTCCATGTACAGAAACCTGTACAGCTCAATCAATTCCCTCCAGGCTTCTTACTGTACTGTGGTCACTCACTGTTGTTTACCGATGTGGCTTGGTGATTACGTAGCTAGAAAACTATATTCCAGTGTTTCTCACAGAATTAGACTGTATTTTTCTATATTTAATTAAATATATTGATACTATAGTAGGCTACCTCTGTGTTGTTTATCTGGCATGTTGGCTGCTGCCTTTCTCCTGTGTCTCTCTCTCTCTTTAGCTATCTCTTCATGACCCTCTCTTGCTGCTTCAGCAGCCCTGGTAAATATTTGAAATGAATCAACTGGATCGCTAATCACACTGGTCGCACTGATCAGCTTTCCCCCGTGTTTTTCAATATTTCCCTGGACTGAGGATGCAAACATTCAGCCCCAGAGTTTATGATCTAGCATTAAGCTTATCCATTTAGAGAGCAGTCCATATACATCCACACTGTGTACAGCATGCTAACCTCAGCAACAGCTGTATTCTGACATTAAGTTAGTCAGCCTTACTAGCCTACTAATAACATATTAGAACAGTCGGATCTCAGTGTTGCATTTAAAAAAACAAACATGAAGAAGAGGAGCTGTTCATGTGTTTGTGTGAGAGAGAAACAGCGGGTCATGGAGTGAGCACGCACAGCACTACATTGAAATACTACTTGTCCAATGTACAGTGAGGAACAGAAGTATTTGAACACCCTGCGATTTTGCAAGTTCTCCCACTTAGAAATCATGGAGGGGTCTGACATTAACATTGTAGGTGCATTCCCACTCTGAGAGACGGAATTAAAAAAAAAAAATCAGGAAATCACATTGTATGATTTTTAAAGAATTTATTTGTCTTGCACTGCTGAACATAAGTATTTGAACACCTGAGAAAATCAGTGTTAATATTTGGTACAGAAACCTTTGTTTGCAATTACAGAGGTCAAACGTTTCCTGTAGTTCTTGACCAGGTTTGCACACACTGCAACAGGGATTTTGGCCCACTCCTCCACACAGATCTCCTCTAGATCTGTCAGGTTTCAGGGCTGTCACTGAGCAACGCGGAGTTTAACCTCCCTCCAAAGATGGTAAATGGTAAATGGACTGT